GTGTGCCATTTTGGATTTGTATGACTGATTTATATTGAATCAAAATGATTCATGGTTTTTGGTATGGTTTAGTAGAAAATGATGCAAATCCAGTGGCGTCGCCCAAACCTAGAACTGGTTCAATAACTCTGAAAATGTAAGCAAATAAATCAATATTGGTCAAATGAATACAAATCAGTGAAACTAGAAGACACTGTGCCTTTTGAAACTGATTTGAATGTAAAAATGACCCTAAATCACGTTTTCAAAGTTGTTAATCAGCTAAAAACTACAAGGGACAGCCCTATGGAGTTGTACGTAATGGTGACGTGGGACCACGTGATCTTATATAATAAATCTTATTTGTTAACTGCAGCAGGAGCTTGTGTTTTATGAAGGAATAGGAATTTTAGCAGGGTATGACTAGGATTGCCCTGAAAAGAATCTTTTGATATGAATTTTAGTTGGGGCATGTTAAGAAATTTAACTGTTTTGGAAAATCTTGGTGGGGCTTAAACTGCCGTTCTACGCATCTAGGGTAGCTGGATCAGCAAATCGGACCGGACAATCCCATATTCTTCGGTTCACTCGCAAGAGTCTTGGCCCGTCTGCTGCTGGACAGGGGTTGAACTGGTGTCTGCGACAGGTTGGAAGGCCACGGAATATCAGTATCCACCGAGCTAAAGCTCCTCCCCTTTTTAGTTTTCTCGTTAAACTCCTTCTCCCAACAAGTTGGTAGTCTTAGCCTTTATCAGAAAGACGCTTAACACTTTTTTCGGTGAATTTATGATCCTGTTTCACGTAATGGGTATTCAGATAAATGAATACTTTTATTTATTTTCTCTACTACGCTTAATCAAATTAGTAGAAATAAGAAGAGATGTCGTTTAGGCGCTCGAATAATTGAAAATTCGATAAATATTTAATCGAATAGCGGGCAAAATCTTAACGATTAATCGTTAATCGAACAATTGAACTTTTAGGCATCCCTAGAAAATAGTGCAATTTCATGTTTTTTGGTGGTCCTTCGAAAATGTCGAACAGCAGAATTGCAACCAGCATGTGTAACCCAAGAACCCAAAGCGGTTCGATGCTAGTTTTCATTGCTATGACGACGACTGAATCAAGAGGCTTAGGAGCAAAGGGATGAAAGTCAATTCTCTTCATCGATTTCCTCTTTTGATGACCATAGTTTCACTAACCTATTCCGCACTATTTCTGCTATGCTCTTCTATCATCTAGAACAACAAACGTATCAATAAATGTGTTTGCCGTCGAATTATCAACGAAACAGAAAGTCGATCGATGAGAATCGATCAAAATCACGCCCTCCAAGATTGGTTACACGATTACAACTCTGGAGAGCATTTTGTGTGGTCGTTGGGGGCGTGTGGTCCTGAATATGGCAATGAGTGCGCAAAATGTTTCCTGTTCGCACCCACCCGAAGATCGACTTGTTTCGTCTACTAACGACTCACTGATGACAGTGTTGGGGAAGCAGCATATCTTCTTCTTCTTATTCGCATTTCAAGCTTATTGCTTAGTGCATATTAGCTTATTGTGTGCTCTCAACTAAGTGTTCTAAATGCACTTCCACAGTTATTAATTGAGAGCTTTCGATGCCAATACCAATGCATGAATTTGTATATTGTGTGGCAAGCGCAATGATACTCTATGCCCAGGGAAGTCGAGAAAATTTCCAACCCGAAAGATTCCCTTGACCGGACCGGGAATCGAACCCGCCACCTCCGGCTTGGTAATACCGTGCTTTTACTGACTAGGCTATGAGGCCCCTAGCAGCATATGCATGTACGTAATTGGTGGATTTGTTAGTTATTTCGACGCTTTTGGACAATGCTTGACATTTACCACTTTTTCAATAGTTTCTTGTTAAAAAATCACCAGTCGAAAGCATTGCGTAGAAATATTTCCGATCGATTGGTGATAACATTATTAAAATTGATCCAGGGGCAGCTGAGTTACTAACGTTTAAAATCTTTCATAATTTCGTTACATGTTCCATTTTCGGTTTTCACAAAGTGTACCCCCATATATAAATCACAGACGTTTTCCTACGTCAAAAGTGAGGCTACTCACCGCTGTTGTGCAAATCTGAAAGTATTTTACCGCTTCCGATTGGTTTAGGGTGCTTTGCGATAAAAGCTAAACGGGAATTTCAATACCATTTCACGAAAACTTCTTTCATATAACTTCTACAAAAAATTGATGGAATCAGGGAGACTTTCAAATGAAACATTAGGTAACTTTTCTTGCAAGTTCTGAGAATGGATATTTGGAGGAATTTGGTGAATTTCAAGAAGTATGTAAGTAAATTCAACGATTTTGAGAGAAAGTTGGAAAATCTAGACGAGAAGTTCAAGGAGCTAATTTCTTAAAGAACAGTCTTGTAAGCGGTCACCGTAGTCGACACATTTTCTGTGATAATCGACTGCCTTTGCTTCAGACACTTGCCAAACAAGCTATTAAACTACAGTACCAAACTAAAATGTCATATGCATGCTCTTTCATACGAAGACACTGTCTCCGAAGACCGTTACAAATGTATGTTATTTAGTTTTTCTCATAATAACAGCTGCTGATGTTGTGCTTGTGTGAATTCTGAAAATATTAAGCAACGATGTCCTAGTAATAACATTTCTGATCAGAAATGGCTTAATTTACACCAAATTGAGGAATTAGATCGAAATCACTCATGTCATATGATAGTTATTTGATAATTTTCTTTTTGCTCGATTTTTTTTTTTTTTTTTTTTTTCCTTTGGTTCGTTTTTTTCGTCGATCTTGTTTTCCGTGCTGAGCACCAATGCTACCGACGTGCCAGGAAGGCAGCTCCCACACCTGGACCCTACCTATCGACCCATCAACTCATGAACCGGGGACCAACGGCTTTACTTCCCATCCGAAGGAAGGCGTGATCAGAGATGTTATGCCTCAGAACATCCCGGCGGCGCCGACTGGGATTGAACCCAGGCCTGCTGGGGTGAGAGGTAATCACGCTTACCACTACACCACCGGCGCCGTTTTTTTTTGCTCGAATGTTGTTCTACTGTTTGCGTTGAGTAAGAGAAACGACGGTAGAGCATGAGAGTACGAATACGAACAGACTGTCGCGCACGCAACGAAGCGAGTGTAGTAAGAAACGTCAACAGTTTTAACCCCTGGTCCTGAACCACGATGTAGCAAACCTTAAGCGTCTACGTTAGCTCATCAGCTGACCGCAGCTTCCTCGATGGTCGTCCCAATCTGCCTCAATTGTAACTTTTTTCATCAGTCATCCCGATCCTCTTTTAAGCAATATCATTCTGCTAATTGTTTATCAACAGCAAGTCTTAGTAGTCATTCCAATCCTACTTAACCAAAGTTTGTTCCAACCGTCGCGCCGGCTCAATTTCACGTTACGCAACGCACAAAAAATTGCAATGAATTTAATTTAATCCCTAATCAAATTACTGCAGTCTTTCTTCCACTATCACCTTTCAGCGATCAAAACAAAAAAAAAAGCTTAAACAAGCCAACACAAATCGAGCAATCACCAGACAAATTCGCTACAGCAAAATCCTCAACGCCGTTCATATTTTCCACCGTTCATGCCTGAATGCTCCCACCTCCCCATGCCTGTCCGTCCGTCCCGCCAGGGCAGTGCGTGAATTCCACCAATTGGACACGTCTGATTCCACCGCAGCACCGGTCTATGCTGCCGCACCTTACTGCCAACTGCCGCTCAAAAAAAAAAAAAAAAAAAAACAAGGTGTAAGGAAATTAAATTACTACTGCACCACCACCGTTAGCGAGCAATTCGCTGCATTTGCTCCGTCTCGCCGCGCGCTTTTTGTCGGTTTTAATTTTCCTACACGCCAGGTCCTTAACTTAACGATGCACTAACCACTCTCTTGGGTCGGGGTTTTTTTTGTCTCAACTCGCCGCAAGCTTCTCTGTGTGCGGTTACATTTTCGCTGGTTGCAATCTCTTCGAGGCAGGGCAATTGGCGGCAGCAGGTGCACCTACTTCTACCGAGCGCGAACGGGTTCAAATTATGTAATGAAGGTTTATGGAAGTCTGTGTGTCTCGGGGGGATGGGGAAGGTTGCTTGGGTGTCGGACGGGAGCCAAGTGGGCAGCAGGTTTTAACCTTTCGGCTTGCAGAAATTAGAGTGTCATTAGCGAAGAACTGCTTATTGGGATTGTTTTGCATTTCGAGCTACTCTTATTCAGAATAAAATTGACAGATAACAAAATTGCATTCCTATCACAACTCATTTCACATACAAAGCAGGGTTCGACTGAACGAAAGTTTTTTTTTTTAAAGAAGAATGCCCGAATAAAAATGTTTATAAATTATTGAAATTTATTACTCTTACGCTTTTGTTGATCCAAAATTCGCATAAATTGTTTTTGAATAATTTGACCCACTCGTTAAACAATGTAGCGAAAAGTAAGATTTGCAGTTGAGTTTGATTATTTTCTTGTCGGGCATACCCCCGTGAAACGACGCCGACCGAGCTGCCACAAAAGTCAAACAGTCCCATCATCAGTGACGCCAACGCGGATTGTCGCCTTTGGGTTCCAACCGTGTCGTTGATGTTGGCTGATGGTGATGGTGGGCCGTCGAAAATATGTGCCGCGTCGCAGTGTCTGAATTAATTAAGCGTGGGTCGCTGCGATGGCAAGTATTTCAAGTGTGCTAAGCTACTTCTCTCTTTGCCTGCCGCTGAACCTTCTCGGAATCAGAGCAAATCTGAAGGCGTTGACATGATAAATTTACCTTTCCACCATACCGACGCCATTCCACCATCGCGTTGTGTGACGACTGTGAACCAAAACGACCGACGATGACGGACCCCCATTTGAAATTAATCAACTCTGAACGGCCGTCGTCGGTTGTGCCGCAGGGTATGCGATTGAATTTGACGGAATCTATCTGCGATTGACGTTCTGAAAATTGCTGAATGCATGGATTTTTTCAACCGTACTAACTCACTTTTTTCTGTTTTCTCTTTACAGGGCCCACCGCAATCGGCACAGCCGTTCAAATTCACCATAACCGAAAACTGTGATAGGATAAAGGAGGAGTTCAACTTTCTACAGGCACAATATCACAAGTAATGATCGGATTGTTTTCGTCGTTTTCTATATCTGTGTATTCCCTTCCGAGTCCCGTTCCTCATTTCCTCGAAAATGGATAAAGTGGTTTATTGGAGATCTAGCAATTTTAGGTTTCTTTTTGAGCATTAGAGCAACTATGAAAAATGTCATAGCAGTGTTTAAAAAAATGTGTAGATTTTGCCGAAAGCTAATTGGCCAAACCGGTCATTAGACCCTTTTTTGAAGAAAGAAAGATTCAACTTTGTGCATTCTTTAAAACAATTATCAACACCTAGCGACATTGGATAACACATCTGAGTAGAGAAATTGGAAAAATACAAAGTTTTTTTTTCAAATTCACATAGTTTTGTGCCTTTAAAAAAAATTAAAGGGTTGTGTTGTAGAACTACGCAAAATTGATGTATGTCATGCATTTTTGATTATTATACTTTATCTTAAATTTTTCAAGAATTTCCATGTTTCGACTAGCGACAATTCATGTTAGCATAATCAGACCACGGTTCATCTTACGCATGAGATAATGTATTTAAATTTAATGTAATGGTTAAGAATTGACCCTCTTGGGTTGATCAATGTTGAGTTATTTATCAATGTGCACTAAATTTGACATCGACATCGACTACAATAGGAACTGACACTATTTCGTCACACATGTTTTGTTGATTTGCACCTCAGTATAGTACACAAAAACGCCATGCATATTGTGGGATAAAACAATTGCCAAAAAATACATTAATTTTTTTCAGTAGCTCCATCATAAGTTTTAAGTTAGGTTTCTGAAGCAGAGAAGAAAGTGAAGATTGCATTTTATGATAACGCAACAGGCAGTTGTTTTACCTGTCAGGAGACTGTACTTTAAATATTGAACAAAATGATGGTTCATATGTCAACGAAGTAGGGGAGGAAGGGGAATAACGATCATACGGGGTTTAAGCACCTCTTTGTTCTCCAATTTGGAGGACAATCCTAACATAAAATTACCATGCATCATCATTATGTACTTTACAGCTCGTTCGTAGAATGATTGCAAAATAGAATACTGTGACTTAAACGTTTGGTTGCCAATAAGTATGTGCTTAGTACAACATTAATTGAACATTAGGGGATTCAGCTATTGAATTTCAAAGTAAGAGCAAAAGCTCGTATACAGGTTCTCCACCTGTTTAATGTTTTGATAGTAAACATCATAGTTAAGGTACACCGGTGCAAGTTGAAACAGTACGTGTTTCTCTTAGTGGAAGTGAATATTCACTGTAATTATTTTTGAGAGGCATTGTGTACTACCGCAAACTATTTTAGAAATAATCTCAGTGATTATTCACTTCCGCTAAGAGTTTCAACTTCCCCACGCGTTTCTACTTGCCCCGGTGTAGGGTAATGGATTTTGGTTGGACCTATTCATGTTATTTTTGCACTGCTTCTAAATGTATGCCGTGTTTATTCTACGAATATTAGATATGGACATGAAAAATGTCTAACTTTCTAACTTTCTAGTTTCTAATAATACTAAAGAATGAACAATGTTTTCAAAATAGAATTTCACTGAAACGCGGGTTCGTAATCACACAAGCATTCCTGAGTAATTGCGCTGATTGGAAACAGTAGTTAGAGCTTTTTTCTCTATGATGCATGGTATATGCATTTGGGTTAACATCCGACGTCCCTCCTTCATTACATATTCTGGGCAAAAAATACTTTCTAAGCCCCGCCTCTGGCAGGATTTCCCACCGTTTTTTTTATGAATCGGGCGGGGCAGAAAGTATCTTTTGTGCAGAATATGTAAAAAAGGATGAACTTCAGATGTTTATCTAATTGCATATATAGAGGTACCAGATATGTTTTACAGTCAGTGGGTTGGTAAATCACCCACAGAATAACATAAAAATATTTTCTCAAATTTGAAGCAATCTGGGTAAAAAAATAACGGAATTAAACTTTTTTTTTACTACATTGTAGTTAGCTTAGCAATTATTTATTTTCAAATAATTTCAAGGAAATATTAGAAACCTTAAAGAAGTTTCGAGGAACTCAGTGAATTTCCGAAAACTTCGGAAAACGTGTGAATATTTTAAGGGTGTTATATTATGGAGATTTAGAGAACTTAAAAAATACGAAAATTTAGCTAAGTTGATTAGAGAACATCAACGAAGTTTCATTAATAAAAAGTGAGAACTTTAAGCAAGCAGCGATATCTTCAAGAAATTCCGGAGATCTAAATTTAGATATGTTTAGATAGTTTAATGATATTCAGCGAACTTCCGAGTACTTCGAGGACGTTCAGATAGCTTCAGAATAATCCCATTAACTTAAGCAAATTAGCAGCACAGAGTTCCGTGGAAATATAGGGTATTCCAAGAATTCTATGATTGATCCTAAAACGTCAGAAGCGTCAGGGAATTATGAATATATATCAGAAAATTTGCTTTATAATTAAACAAATTTAGAGAACTTCAGGTAAGCATTGATAAGTTCAGGGAAAAGCGAGTATTAATAATGGTTATAATACTCAAGGAACATTTTCGAAACTTCAAGGCAAATTAATCAATTTCAGTAAAGTTGCGGGTTCTTAAAAATTCTGATAAATTCAGGGCAGTCTAGAGAACTTTAAAGAAATTTAGTAATCGTTTAGGCACCAGGAAAGTCTGGACTATTGAAAAAGTTTTAAACTATTGTCGACAATTTAAGAGAAGTTTTATGAACTTCAGAAAAATCTTGAGAACTTCAGTAAAAATCGTTAAACTATATTAATTATTTCACAACAATTCACATCAAGCAACTGAAAAGTGTTCGTCCTAGCAAGAAGTACGGTCGACTTGTTTCGCGCTCCGTTGTTTTGGAAGTTTTTTCGGTATTCGCTTGATATAATTTATCAGTTTTTTTCTCACTAAGTGACTCCTGGCATAGTTCCCGGTAATTTGATCGAAAAGTGAGTTTTTTTTAGTAGAAAGTGTCATTTTCGGAAAGATTAATCCGTGCTATTGGAAATTCGCAAACAAATTTGGGCATCATCGTTGCGTGGTCACGCATACGCGCTTACGCATACCCGCTCACGTATCATCATCATCGAGTGTGAGCACCCGTTTCTACATCTACATCGTTCATCAATCATCGTGCGCCTGTGTGCGCTGAGTGCCGTGCCTCGATCAAGTGCACCACAACGAAGGTCATCCACGCAGCGCGTCTCTTCCAGCCATCTGTGTAAACGCCTACACATATAACGCTCGGTGGTAGTAGTATAGAATTATCAGATAAGTTTTTGTTTTTTTTTTTGTTTCTTTTCCTCCCCCATTAGTCAAATTTTCATTTTGTATTTCTGTGTTTGTAGTGTTTTCTGTGTATTGTGTCTGTGCGTTCAGTGGCAGAGCGTTTTGCGCTCCCACTAGTTGAACAAAATGGATGTTTTGTCAGAAGACGACATGGATGACCATTCATCTCAGAAGAATGATGATGTCATCCCTGGTTCGTCGTCTCAGTCTGTCGATGGGCAGGCTGAGAAAAGCTCCAGATTGCGGGCCTACCCGAATGACTCGACTGGCCCATGGGTTGTCTATTTTCAGCCCAAAAACAAACCCTTGAATGTTGTTCAGATATCTGATGATCTGACAAAGCGATTCTCTGCCGTGACCGAAATAACGAAGGTTAGGCACAACAAACTTCGTGTGACCGTCGCTAACCTGAAACAGGCCAATGAAATTGCTGTTTCCCAATTTTTCACACTGGAATATAGGGTGTACATTCCAGCCTCTGATGTGGAGATCGAAGGCGTGGTCACTGAGGCGAGTCTGAACCCCGAGATACTGGAGAAGCAAGCGGTTGGCCGATTCAAGAACCCCTTGCTTCCTCCGGTAAAGATACTGGCCGTTCATAGAATGAAGTCAGTATCGCTCAGCGAGGGTAAAAAGAGTTTTACCCCCACAGACTCGTTTCGGGTGACCTTTTCTGGATCTGCCCTTCCTCAATACATCGAGCTGGGAAAACTTCGTCTTCCTGTGCGGTTGTTTGTACCTCGGGTCATGAACTGCCAGCATTGTAAGCGGTTGGGACATACGGCCTCCCACTGCGGCAACAAGGCACGCTGCTCCAAATGCGGGGAGAAGCATGAGGATGGCGCCTGCGCAGCTACTGCACCAAAATGCGTGTACTGCAACGGAACTCCTCCTCATGCTCTCTCGTCGTGTCCGGCGTACAAACAGCTCGGGGACAAAATGAAACGCTCCCTTAAGGAACGTTCCAGGCGGTCTTTTGCAGAAATGCTTAAGATAGCCACGCCATCGACCAATGACAAAAATCCCTTTTCTCTTTTGTCAGATGACGAGACTGACTCTGACTTGGCTGAGGAGGGAACTTCTTTCAGTTTTCCGGAAGGTTCTGCACGGAAACGAAAGCGCATCCGTTCGCGGATTGTTGCAAATAAAGAACCCCAAATCAGCTTGCCTAAATCAAGGAGTGGTGGAAAAAAGGAGACTTCTACTCCTCCTGGATTCCGCAGAACTGACTATACCCAGGATTTTCCACCACTTCCGGGGACATCCAAAACCCCTGATGCCCCAATTTTAAGAACAAAAACCCCTTCTTCATCTGGGTTGTTCTCATTTGATGACATTGTGGACGGTATTCTCAAATACCTCAACATTTCTGATCATCTGAAAAGCATTGTCCTCACATTGCTTCCCACTGTGAAATCCTTCTTGAAGCAATTGACTTCAAAATGGCCCCTTCTTGCAGCTATCATCTCCTTCGATGGATAATTTTCCAAACGAGGTCGGGGATTTGATCACTGTTCTACAGTGGAATTGTCGAAGTCTTATTCCGAAATTAGATTCGTTCAAGTATTTAGTCCATAACAATAATTGCGATGCATTTGCCCTCTGTGAAACATGGCTCTCTTTAGAAATTGATCTCCCTTTTTACGATTTTAACATTATTCGATTGGATCGTGAGGATTCACGTGGAGGAGGGGTACTTTTGGGGATCAAAAAGTGCCATTCCTTCTATA